AAAAAAAATTATTAAGTTCAAATGTTTACAAAATTTATAAAAAATCAACGAAATTTCTCAAATAATTTTTTAGTTAAAATTCATAAAATGCTCAATTTTTATATCCATAAGGTTTGGACGTCTTTATTTATATCAATATTTCTCGTAACTAGCTCGTGCAGTCGTACTGTTAACAAAAAATCTAAAACGATATATGTACGTTTGAAATTTGACATTGGATATTCAACTGTAAACTAACGAATTCTCATTTGGTGCAACTCGATAAAAAATAGCGTAAACATATGAAATTTTCTATACGTGATACAATTTTCAAAATGTTTTTTCTCTTTTTAAGCTATTTATAAACATTTAAAAATGTTTTGGCTTCGATGTCGATAAATATCTTAGTTAAATAAAAAGGTTGAAATTGTAATACAAGGTACCTTATAGGTTCCATTTCAACCATAACAGTTTAAAAATTTTAAAAACGCATATTCGATTTTTTAAGCATTAAAAATTAAAAACTTGACATTTATCAAATTGAAAATTTGCTAATTATTTTGTACATAAAAATGTATAAAATGTTCATTTTTTATAATTAAAGATTAAAGATTTAAAACAAGGTTTCCCACAAGAATATTCCTATACTGTAACCAGTATCTAAAAATTATATAAGTACACAATTTTTTTTTAAATTCAAATTTGGACAAAATTAGATATTTAAAAGGTAAATCACGATTTTAGTTATTGAAAAATATTGCTTGTGGTACTATTGCAACTTCTTATATACATCAAACTAAAAGTTTTTGAAAAAAATTAAAGAAACCTTCTGTTTTACTAATATTAAAAATAATACTTTTTTAGCAATAATAATATCGCAAGATATACTTATAGTAATTTAGGTTGACATTTAATGAAAGATTATGAAAATTAATGTGTAACTACTGTTTAAGAAAAAAAGTTCATCAAAACTAACTTGGAGTATTAATTATGATTTTTTTACTTTTGTTACTCAGTCAACTATTGGGAAATTAATATAAAAGATCTTAAAGGAGGCAATAACTAGGTGATAGTACCAACTACCAAGTAAAGAAATTAATACTTTAGGTTAAAATCATGTTTATACATATTATATTGTCTTCTTCCTCCTGCTATTTTAATACTTTCCAATAGTTTTGGCCACCGGCACCAAATCACTCCACTTGCCTCAATCCTGAACTATATACACTCTCATTTCTCGCAAATCGTTTTCCACAACAACAATTCTCTTCTGAGACAAACCTATGAACTTTTTTCCTTCTAGTTTCCAGTCCAGACTACGAGACAGTCCAGTATTCTTTCTCCTGCAGTAATTGTTGGTTGAACTTCCTACACAACGAGCCTGTTATTGCATCCATTATCTGGCCGCATATTCTTATCAATATTATGTAATATTATGTATTCGATATAAATTCTTATAAAATAAAATCTATGTACCTATTTAAAATGTTTTTCAACTGTTATTGTAACAATATATCAAGAATATTGTATTCAATTTTCAATCTTATGACCCAAAGATCAAAATTGTATTAACGTTTAAAGAAAAAAAAAACTGTAATAATTGAAAATTGAAAATGTTCGTTTACAGCTTTTCAAATTTTATCAAGTTTATCAAATGAAAAAACCCAACATGTTGTATACATTTCAAGTACCTACAGTTATTCGTTTTTTAATTACAAGAAATAAGAAATCGTTCAATGAGAAATCGAGAGATTTCAATGTTGTACTTCAAATTCGCATAATGTTGCTTGGTATGGCGCGGTGTCTAAGTGCGTACGCACAGGCCAGTAGTACTAGTTACCGAATGGGTGACCATACAGGATTTTTAGTAACAAATCCTTGCCACAAGTACAAGTGTTCCGATCCAACCGTATCATCCACACAATAAAATCTGCTAATAACCACGAAGCTGATGGCTCAAAAAAAAAAGAAATTTTAAAAACCGCTTACCAACAATTTATTTGGCTTTCCAGTAGACATTTTATTTTTGAAAAAAGTATAGACAAACTTATGAGGAATCTTGTATTAATGTTTAAAGTTTTTTTCCGGGCAAAATTATTTTTTAATTACGTTAATTTAAAAAAAAGTAATAAAAATTGAAAATTGCATATGACTAAATGCAAGACTGGGTAAGTTAATGATATTTTTAACTAAGTTAAGTTAAATTAAAATCCGAATTAAGTTAATAATTTAAAGTTAATTCAAAATTGTCTCTCAATTTAAGTAAGTTAGAAGTTGACCAAAAGTTAATATAAACTTTTCAACTCAAATTAAGTTACTTAAAAAAAATTAAGTTTCTGTTTTTAAATAGGTAAAATTAAAATAACACTTAGCGACGTGGCGTATTAATTTGTATAAACGACAAACGTTCTGCAGTTATACTCATAGTTGTAATAAATGTACAGAGTAATTTACTAATTTCTACTGGTTAGTCCATATGCGTTGTTAGATTACCAAAAACACGAACTAAGATATTATAACAATTGGAACTCTGTAAATTCCAGTTTAAAATGATAAGTAATAAGATGTATTGATTAGAGAAACCTTGTATTATTAGACTATTACAACGCGTGTCGGAGCGCAGGATGTCGGTGCCTCGGGTGAATAAACACGGTATTACTAGCCCGCTACAACCGCCAACAGATGACGAAGGCGAAAAATAATAGTCAATGATAATATTCGTAATTTCATAATAATTGAATTTGAAATGAACTTAATGTGTTTAAATGTAAAATCAACTCAGTTAATAATAATAAAAATTAAATTTACTGAACTTTAACTTACGAGGTGTGATCAAAAAATATCGGGACTTTATTTATGATAAATACAAAAATTAAGAAACCCATTATTTAATGATGTCTCCTTCAAAATATACTCTCCTCCGGAAACAAGGCTATAGTTCCAGTGTTCTTGCCATTTTTCGAAAGTCTTTTGGAACTGCTCCGAAGTTGAGACTTAGAGTTCCGCTGTCGTATTCGCTTTAATTTCTTCTACACCTTGAAATCGCTGGCCTTCGAGTGCAAATTTTAGTTTTAGGAAAGAAAAAAGTCACACGGGACCAGACTAGGAAAATAGGGAGGGTGCAAGACAACAGGTATTTTTTAACAGCCAAAAATGCACTTATTGACGGCGCTGAATGGGCTGGCTCATTATCGTTGTGAAGAAACCAGGTTCTTGTTCGCCATTTTTCTGGGTGTTTTTTACGAATTTTTTCTCCCAAACGTATTAATACGTCTTTGTAGAATACCTGATTGACCGTTTGTCCATGGGGTACAAATTTATAATGAACAATAATTTCAATAACAAAAAAACAATCAGCATTGTCTTGACATTTGACGAGTTTTTTTTGGCAGAGAAGAAAATTTTGTTTTTCACTGAGATGACCGAGATCGTGATACCGAGATCGGATACCCATAAACACATATTTCGTCACCTGTTATAATGTTTTTATAAAATTAGGACCGATAGAACGATTTTTAAGGTCTTGAAAAATCGTTAAATGATTTTCCTTTTGTTCGAACATATCGAAAACGCCAAACAAAACAAACTGACTGAACCATGTGTTAATTTAAACTGAGATAAAATATATTGACTTGGGTTTTGTTTAAAATATTCACCAATAAGTGGGGAATATATATATAAATAGTTTAAAACGCTATCGTGCCTAGATTAGCCATAATAATATGTGTCCCGGTATTTTTTTATCACACTTCGTATTAATGCATTAAGAGGACGTGATACCTGCATGTGTTGTCTCTGTCTTACAAGTGCGTAACATAGCAAATTTTACGCTCAGCAGAACACGTGTAGCTCCGTTAGTTTAAAAATTAGTGCGTATTGACCTCTTATAAAATCTAAAGGTAAGATTATTCAACCTCGTAGGTTTTTTATTATATTTTAATTTTAACGCGAGTTATGAGTATTTTAAGATGTATAAAAAATTTACAATTTTAAAATACTCATAACTCGCGTTAAAATAAAAATATAATAAAAAAACCTATGAGGTTGACTAGATAATAATCTTACCTTTAGATTTTATAAGAGGTCAATACGCACTAATTTTTAAGCTAACGGAGCTACACGTGTTCTCCTGAGCGTAAAATTTGCTATGTTACGCACTTGTAAGACGGAGACAACACATGCGGGTATCACGTCCTCTTAATGCTTAGTCTTGCCAATATGGCTATATATTATAGCCCAACATAAGTCAAAATATTTTATAATTGTGTGGTGTATAGGAAATGCTAATACAAATATTCGGTGAAAATGTCATGTATTTGCGGTAATTTTTTAAGAGTTACACCTAAAACCAAAATCGATTTTTGGGTAAAAATTCCTGTTTTTCGTTAAATTTTTTTTTTTTGCTTTTCCAGGCCTTTTTGAAAACTACTGGGAATTTTAAATTTTTACCTTCCGAGTGCACCAACTAGATTCACTTTCCCACCGGAAATGATACTTAAGTCAAAAATAGATTTATTATTTCAATTTGTTATTATATGGGCACAAGAAAAAATTTTAATGAACAAAAATTTAAAAAAAACACATCATGGTAATATCAATATATTTATCATTCAACTCAGAATCTAAATTTAGTTTAGGGAGGTACATAGAATGGTTTTCTCATTTTCTGAAATATTTGTGTACTAGAATTAAAATATTTGGCAGTTAAGAAAAATTTGTTCACACTGAAAATGTCCTAAATTTAGAAAAATAAAAATTAATTAATCTTCAAAGAGCAACTGGACACTCAAGGATTCCAAAGATGCCACTGCAAAATTCCAATATCTGCAATTCTAATAAATACTTGTTGTTCAGTAAGCAGCTTTGCTCTTCAAAATGCCACTGCAGTTTATTGTGGGATAAAAAATTACGTCCAAATAAATTATAATAAAATACTTATAATATCAATTTTTTCTAAACTTACAGCAATACATTTCTCATACATAGTGAATTATAATTAAATAGTAATATTATTAAAAGTATAATTGTTTTTGTTGTTTGTACTTAGTTATTAGAGCTCACTTCATTTATCTTCGACTGCATGATTTTAATCGACAATGATAATGAATGGTAAATTACAAAAATAACTATTTTTATTTAATTTTTTGTGACATTGTCTGCCTTAGGCATTCACTAAAACTAGCTTATAATAGTAATATTATTAATAAACCAAAAAGAGTTAATTATACTAGGCATTTTCAATATTCTATGAATATCATTGATGGTACTAATATATTTAAAAAACATCTAATATCCTTATTTTAACGCGATTTCATCACTGACCTCGCCTACTAACTAAAAAACTTAAAAAATATATGAAACAGATTATTATTCATATTCAAAATAAGTGTTATATTGAATTAAAATTATTAAAATATAAATTATAAAGATAAAAAAATGAGTACTTTATACAAATATAAAACAAAACATAAAATAGAACAAATAATTTAACTCCAGTACAATAATAGTATATAAAGTCTAAATTTTGCAGTGTTCTGCTACTGATGATCATTTTTTCAACATAAACAATTCATCAGTTTATTGATTTTAACTTAAGTTTTATAAATTTAAGATGCCTTCAATTCTTAGGATAATGTATTTATTCTTTTTTCAGATTTGCCATTACTCGAGCCCGATTGTGAATCCTCGAATGATTTGATAAGGATACTGGTGAAAAAAAAACTTTTTCACAAATCAAACAATTATAAGTGCGTGTATCCTTTTTAGTACAAGTAGTTTTGTTTACAGTCTTCTTTTGGCATTTGGCCAAATGAGATTGGAAGTCGAAAATAGTAATATCCATTTGACAAAATGCACACTTAATAGTTTTTCTATTTTTTTTACAGGCCATTAAATTACCATTATGGTAGGTAAATTTATGAATACTCAAACCTTCAAGATCACCAAATTTTTCAGGACATTCAAAACATCTGAACATGCTAATGGTACGACAGTTATTTTTAAATTGATGATTTCTAAGACTAGATATATCAGAAAATGGCTTACAACACTGCCAACACATCAAAGTATTCCCAAGTTTAAAATGTGAACGATAATGAAGTTTAAAAGTTCTAAAGGTTTGGAAGATGAGATTGCAATTACGTTTTAAACAAGTAAAAAGTACATGTTCTGATGTAAGTGAATTTTTTTGATTTTTATGCACAGTTACATCCTTTACATTACTTTTCCGAAAAGATCTTCTTGTTTTATTTCTGGTAGGTTTTTTAAGCTTCATGCTAGCTGCAGTTGCATTGTTTGTCTGATTTTCAAGACAATACTTCATGTGATCATTTATGACTGCTAGTTCCGGAAATGATTCTTCACAATGTAAACATAAATAATTACCATGTACATCCATCAAAAGGCCATTGTGTGTTTTTAATTTATGAAAGGCTAATTCTTGCATACTCTTAAATACAACATTGCATGTAAAACATTTAAATGCATTTAAAGTGTTACAGTGTACATGACAACCATTGCCATCAATGTTAGATTGTTCTATTTTTTGAAAACAACGAGGACACATAACTGCTGATGAAGACATACCAATATGCTGTCGATAATGTGATGTAAAATGTGTTTTTGATCTTGATAAAATGTTACAATTAGGGACCAAACAAGTAAAAAAAGATTTAGTTTGTTGAGAACAATCATGGTTGAGGATTTTCTTCTTTTTACAGATTGAACAGTAGTATAATTTTTCAGTCTTATTATTTTTATTTTTATTTTTGAAATTCATATTATTGTCACCGTCTGATGATAATTCAACGGTTTCATCATGGTGGGATAATACAACTGATTCTTCGTAGTCAGATGATTCTTCATCGATATTTTCACTTTCATTGCTTAACGTTAAATCAACAGTTTCTATTGGAGTTTCTACTAATATGCAATCGTCATTTGATTCTTCAACAAATTCTGAATTTGAAGGATTAGCAATAATTGATCTACTAGAAACACCTCTGCTACGGCCATGTACATTTGTTCTTATTTCATTTGATCTTAGTGGTTTTACTTGAGTATAATTTAACGTAGATGAAGAAGTAGATGCCTGTGTTGATTCATTGATATTACTAAAAAACATCTGTGATGAAGTAGATGGCTGAGTAGATACTTGGTCATTCTCTGACATCGTTGATGAAGTAGATTCCTGAGTAGACTCTTCATTATCCTCTAATGGAACATCTCTATAGAAAGCTCTGGACGTAGAAGCACCAAACATATTTGATTCATGTGATTGAAGTTGAGAATGGTTGGACGAAGATTCCTGAGATGATTGGTCATTATTTGTTAACATCGGTGATGGAGTTGATTCAATGGAAGTGCTAGGCCTAGTAACATGAAACTAAAAACAAAAATATAAATAGTATTAAAACATTAGTCAAAAGCAAGAAAATGTGCAAATGTTTTTGCAGTTAAGAATGTATAAATTATTCAATTTTTATAGCTAAAGCTTATACATTAAATATACTTAAGATTCCTCATAAGTATTTCTTACTGAAACTCCAACAAATAAAAGCATTATTTATTTTTATAGATATTTTTAGTTTGAATTTTTGGATAAATTTAATACATAACCAAAGAATAACAATTTTAGGGATTCAAGATTTATATGCATATAATATGTAATTTCATTTCACTGTACTCAGTAACATTTAAAAAATATTTAAATGCATTTTAAGCTGCTGCCCATTTGTACCATATGACGCCTACTGCATTAGTAATAATAAAATAAATTACTATAATAGCTTCGATAATAGTAATATAAAAATAAACAAGCCCAATATGTGTCTACATTTTTATTGCATTCCTACTATGTGTAACAAAATTATATTATTAGATTAAAATTGAGATTATCCGTACTTTAATATTTGGTGGTCCGCTAGAAGATAATTGATTACCAAAGTCAGCTGAGAAAAAAAGGTTGGGTACTAGTTTATAGGATAGTGGAATACTGGCTTTCTATAGTTATACATTAATACTTAAGTTGAGTTAAGTTATTTGAAAATTATCAAAACAAAAAGTAAAGAACTAATTAATCCTTTAATATTTACAAAATAGTTAAATTAACAGTGCTCACTCTTCCAAAAATTTAAAATATGTAATAATAATAAAATAAATAATGTGTGGACTGTACATATTCTACATAGTTTAATTAGGGCCATACAAAAGTTTTATATTACATACACTTTATCGACAAACGTACAAACTATAAATGACATTTTGAACAATAACAATACGACCATGTATACCGCAGGTATGGTACCTACATAGTTACAATTTAAGTTAAATACATTGTAGGCCTTTGCTGTAGTTGGTTGCTGTAGTGTTATTAATGGTTATTAGATCCATGAAATATTAAAATTAAGTAATTAGGTAGATTTCTTAATTAATTTAGAACTTTTAAAATGTATTAACTTTATTTTATTTTGTCCTTGGAATTTTATATTTTTTAGTGCCGTTTACCTAACTTTCTTCAGCAGTATAAGATTTTTTATTGTTTTGTTATAAAATTTAATGCAACTTAAACCATAAAGTTTTTGTTATCAGACAACACTATACTATTTTAGTATAAATTTGATTCCAAACGTCAGTCCAAGTTGTTATCATTAAAGAAAATGCTTTCTCTACTGACGGGTTTGATACCCGTAAACAAAATGTAAACTCCACAACCATTGCAAGATTTGATACATTTACATATTTTCTTTAAATATATTAAATATTTGTACCCATTTTTGTACTAATAAAATAAAATTTTTTGATCAGTCATCAAATTTACCCTGACAAATATTTATACAAGCCATAGACTCATCAAAGTATTCATCTTCAATTACTTCGGCATATTTTGATAACATCTTTAATGCATTTTTAGCATTATTGCATGTTGCTGTATTTTTGTTTACTAAGTGCAATCAATTAAGTAATGTCCACTTTTGAATTTATTTTATGCATAAATCATAAAACTTTTGACAGTTTACACCAAATAATTGTTTAACTAAATAACCATTTCCTTCTATATCATCTATCAATTGTTCCATTTTAGTATTAATTAAATGTTTATTTTTTTTTGTGTTCTAGGTTATTTAATTAACTGTTTAATAGGTATATCAATTAATGCAAGTGCCAACATTTTTCAACTTAAATTTTTGATTATAATCATTGAACAGTTTAAGTATACTATGTATACTGGTATAATATACTTCACATATAATAAAACAGTGACATTTAGAAAAAAGTCAACCAAAATTTTAGGACTCAAATATTGTAAATGAAAATACAATAATAATATATAATTGATTAAGCCACCAAACATTAAAATAATTCTATCTATTACAGGAGACAATGATAACCATGTAGTTTTGGAGTAAGATAAAATATCATGGTGCTGAACATCTGCAAAGTCGTAAAATGATTTCAATTTTTTTACATGAACTATAGAAATGCGACAATATCCAAAACTTTTTACTGTAATAGCTTTTCTTATTAATTTTTATCTGCTAAAATTATTATTTGTGTTATCTGATAGAATTCAATTATTATTTTCTTTAATTCAAATTTAGTAATAATGTCAATAATTCCAATCAAATATTTAAACCAGATGTTTCACCGGACAAATTTAAAAGACATAGTACCTATTTTGTTTTTTATACTGAAATTTGGCTAAAAATAACGAACAATAGGTACTAATTTCATTGTTTTGTGGTTGGAACCATCAAATTAAGACAGATACATACTTTGCAAAAGGTAGTTCTTTTAAAATATTATCACCTTTGTATAAACAAATAACGATAACAACTATTTTCCTAGTTTTTGTTTTAGCACAAGTGATTTTTGTCATACAAACACTGAAAAATTAAATCCGATGTAAAAGACATATAACGAAAACTTTGATTGTGAACTACTGTATGATACACAAAAGTAGTTTAGGGGGTAACTAACAAAAAATCATTTTCTGTGGGAACCAAACTAGAAAAATAGTTGGAGACTTTACCAGATTGAACTGATGATCTTGTAGCTAGCTAACTTATGTTTTTGTATTTTAAGGTTATTTAAGTCCGATCGTCCACCATGACTTACTTAAAATGTTCCATGGCAAGTTGCACACTATACATAACAAATTGCCAGTAGGTTTAAGTTTATTAATAAATAGGGAACCATTTTGTGACTTCGCATTAAAGTGAGAGAATATTTTAGGCAGCATTGTCACTACGTGAAAAAATTATCTCAATAAAATTATGATACTATAAAGTATAAATGCAGACAAAACTGTTAGTAGATTTCACACTCACAACCGACTCGTATTATTGGAAAATAAATATGAACTGATGTATAAATTTATGAACTATACATAATATTATCTTTTGTAATTGTATTCTCAATAATAGATAAAAAAAAAACATAAAAAACATGGTTTTTTAAGAAAAATTCTAGTTCTACAAGAAAAATCCAAAGAAAAGTCTATGAATCATAAATATGTTTTTTTTAATACCTAAGTAACTATGATAACAAAAACCTTACAAAAAATCTGTCAAAAACATTTTATGTTTTATGTATTTTACATAAAAGTTTTTAAAAGAGTATTTAAAAACGTGTGATAGAATTGTTGCGATATAACTACATCACATTGTGAAATTGATCCATCAGTTCCTGAATAAGGGAAGAGATGATTAAACCACAGAAAAATTTAAAAGCAAAACTTGGTTAAGCTTGACTATGCCACTGTATCCATAGGGTAAGAATTATTTGACTCTAAAAGTTGAAACTTATATCCGTAATCTGATAGAATGTTGGCAATGTGTATCCTTCTTTGTTATGAAATTATAAAAATGGAAATAACCCATTGACTATGGACAATGGCTGTTTTTATTTATTTAAAGTTTTTTGGATGTATTGTCAGTTTCAGTATGTTACTATTAAATATTTATCCAATCGGATATTTTATGATTACATTCAAAATTCAATATATAAGTAGTATATATTTATAACACAAAATAGTAACACAAAACCTATATAAAATACAAATCAACATAAATATAATGGCAATAGTGATAAAGTACAGCAAACTTATAACCTCGCTCATAACTAATACATTTATTAATTATTAAAATCAAAATTACCATTATTTAGTTTACGGAGCAATATATATGAAAGGGTGATTTTGATTTTGAATGAAAAATTATAATATTGTTTTTTTTTTACGTTTTTCAAACAATAGGGTTATAATATTGAATTGATATTGATACACCACATACCCCAGAGACAATGTTCAAGGCCATAGTCACACGATTTTGCCAACACATATACTGTCTATGTCCTGGTTAAAACATTTAAACTGTTCTACGTCGAGCATGCCCCAACAATACTCAAATAGGTTTATACTTAAGAACACTGATTAAAATTGTAAAATACTCTTAAACATTTAAAATTTAAAGAAAAACATTTTTATTAGATGTATTTGAAAAAACTAATATTCAAAGCAAACGACTGAACAACATAAGAAGTGTACCTATTATTTCCTTTAAGAGCGGGAAAATGTTTACAATGTAGTTCAGATGAACATTATTAACATTCTTGAAGAATTGTCACAATTTAATTTGTCGTTGGAAGATTTAGAAACAAAATAAAAACAATTTTATAAATTAATAAAAAGAAACTTATAAAAGTCAGTAAAAAGTAGAAAACAAGAAAAGAATCATAACAAGTTTTAAAATTGTATTGAGTTGTAGGCGAGGTCTAAAAAAGAAACAAGGGGACAATCAAACTCCCAAAATTGGTATTCTGCAGAGTAATTTGAAAAGAAAACCAATTACTGTAGGTGTCTAACGTAGGTAAAATATGTAAAATAAGGTCTTGCAATAAGGCAGTGTGATTTCATACGAGCATAGGAATCCTAAATAAAAAGTTGTAGAATATGGAACCAGGGGCTGAGGAAAAACATATTTTTGGATTTATTAAATAAATATTATTATATTATTATTTAATTAATTTTTTTTATTATTATTAATATTATTATTAAATTTTTTTTATTTATTTATTTATTTATTTATAGCTATTAGTCTGCATGGACAGTGATATTTGATCTTTCATTCTGTACATAGCAGCTATCTCAGGTAGATGATAAAATTATATGTGAATATTTATATAATATAATACATACAGTGTGATTCACCAAGCATGCTCTTCGCGATTTTTTCCTGTAATAATGAATTTACAAAAATTCTGATTTTTGAAATTTTTAAATATACTCAAATACCACATTTTCATGTTCTTGATTTTTTTGATATTAATTAATGTCCTGTGCTAATACATACTTCTGTTTTTCAAATGAGAATCCTCCCTTTTACG